GATTTCTGATTTTATAGTGCTGTAACCTTGGAGGATGCTTTCTACTATTTGAATGTTTTTAAATTTGAGATTTGCTGTATGGCCTAACCTATGGTCTATTCTGAAGAATGACCTATGTGCACTAGAAAATAATGTATATTGTGTTGTTGTGTGGTTTTTAAACACAAATATAATAGAAATATATGTAACTTTCAATAATTTTTAAAATCAAATACTGTATTGTGTACATCTTTCCATTGATTGATCTAATTCTTTTTAATGGCAACATAATATGCCTTTCCATTGCATAATATCCCATTGATGAATGTCATACTTTGTTTAACAATATTTCTCTTTAATGGACATTTAGATTATTTCCAGTTTTTGTTTGTTTGTTTGTTTGCTATTACAAAAATTGCTTTCATGAACAATATAGTATATTTGTTTATGTGTATACTTGTAAGGGTAAGTTTCTAATGTGACTTTGTTGAACAAAAATGTATATGAATTTAAAATTCTGATGGATTTAGTCTAATTGTTTTCCCAAATGACTGAGCCAATTTTCATTTCTGTCAATGGAAAATTGTAAGTTTTTCATTCAATGTCTTACAAAACATTTTCAAGTTATTACATAATTTTAAACTATTTTTTAAGGCTCCATAATATTTAAAGTAGTGAATGTACTTACTATGCATTATTATGAACATTTAGATTGTCACTACATTTTCTGCTAAAAAAAATCATGCTGAACTAAAAATGTTTGGGTATATTTTCTGTATTTTGGATAGCTGTTAACATTTAATACATTAATTTTATTTAATTGTAAAAATAGTACTCATTTGTGAAAGAATGTAAGAAAACAACCATAGTTCCATTACCCTAAAATAAGTATTGTCATTATTTTAGTGAGTTTTTTTTCTAATTTATCTAGATCCTTGGCTTTTAAACATCAAATCAAACAAAAATAAAACAATATTCAATCATAGGATATATGTAATTCTATACATTATTCCCATTTAATAATTTTATATGTACTTTTTAAAGTTTTAAGTAGTCTTTGTATAAATTTAGTTACTCAGTAATATCTATCTGATGACTATACCATGGTTATTTGGCTATTTTTCTATTGTAGTACATTTTGGGTTTTTATTTGTTTGTTTGTTTTTTGGTCAAAATAGCCTTTAATGACTGTGTCTGCAACAGATATTCATATTAGAATTATTTCCTTAGTGTAGAATCCCTAGAACATAATTAATACATCAGTGGTTTTGAATGTTTTTAAATTTTCTGATAGGTATTACTCTGTAAATTATAAATGCACCACCAACTTGAACAAGGCAGTTCACAAAACAGCAAATCCAAATACTCAATAAACATATAGTGTTCAATTTCATTAGTAATGAAGGAAATGATGGGTAAAACTAAAATGAGATAGAGTATTATATAGCTCCACACTGGCAAAATATAATGTGTGTGACAATGCCAACCACTGGAGAGGATGTAAAGCAATGGGAACTTTTATACACTACTGATGGCAGAGAATATTGGTACAACCACTCTGAAAAATAGTGTGGTAGTAATATTTTAAACATATACATACATAAGGCCATTTCACTCATACCCCAAAAACAAACCCACTACCATCAAGTTGATTCCAATTTACAGCGATCCTGTTGAGTTTCCAAGGTTGCAAATCTTTATAGAAGTAGATTGCCTCATTTTCTTCCCATGGAGCAGCTGGTGGGTTTGAACCATTGACCTTCTGTTTAGCAGCCAAATGCCTTACCCACTATGCCACCAAAACTCCTTATTTCACTCAGAGCTTCTAGGTATGTATCTTAGAGAAACTCTTGGATATATGTACATCAGAATATATATAAGGAGGGGTCACTATGAGTTGGAACCAAATTGATGGCAGTTGAGGGTTTTTTTTTTTTTTGTTTGAAACACACATGGCAGTGATAGCAGTTTTTAAACAATTGTCCATTTTTTCTGTATCTTTAATCACATTATCTTGTTTGCTGAAAGTGAAAAAGCCTTGAACCATTTACTGATGAAGATCAGATTACAGCCTTTGGTATGCGTTACATCTCTACATAAACAAAGCAAAAATCCTCACAACTAGACTATTAAGCAACATCATGATAAATGGAGAAAAGATTTAAGTTGTATTTCATTTTATTTGGATCCACATTCAACGCCCACGGAAGCAGCAGTCAAGAGGTCAAATGATGTATTGCATTACACAAATCTGCTGCAAAAGACTTTTTAAGTGTTGAAGAGCAAACAAAGATGTCAACTTTTTTTTTGGCAAAGATGTCTCTTTGAAGACTAAGGTATGCCTGACCCAAACCATGATATATTCCACAGCTCATATGCATGTGAAAGGTGGATAATGAGTAAGGTAGACAAAGAGGAACTGATGCATTTGAATTGTGGTGTTGGTGAAGAATATTGAATTTACCATGTACGACCAGAACAAGAAATGTGTCTTGGAAGAAGTACAGCCAGAATGCTCCTTAGAAGTGAGACTGGTTAGACTTCATCTCTAGTATCTTGATCATGTTAGCACAAGGAACCAGTGTCTTGAGAAGGCTATCATGCTTGGTAAAGGATCAGCATAAAAGGTGAAGACGCTCACAGAGATGAATTGACGCAGTGGTCCTAACGATGGGCTCAAGCATAGCAAAGATGTGAGGATGGTGCAGGACCAGGCAGTGTTTTGTTCTGTTGTACATAGAGTCGCTAGAGATGGAACCAACTTGACAGCACCTAACAATGACCACCACAAATCCATGGAAGCCATCTACAATGTCTAGTCTTAAATATATTCCACTAATGATAGAAGAACAATTATTTTTATTTTACAGATGAGGGAATGAATGGTTTGAAACATAGTTAGAAATAAGAGTTCTCCCCTCATGGTCTTGAGTGCTCCTAGTGTTCTATCTCCTTGGTCCTGTCCAGGGCGCTCTAGAGTGGGTGTTCTGGCATTTACCCAGCGCCACAGTAGAAAACTCTGCTTTATAGGTTCATGTTTCTGCGGGGCAGTCACAATCACCGGAGCAATTAGGATTCAGAGTTGAGAAGCACACTGTTTCCTAAGAACAGGTGTAGTATAAAGTGAAATTTAGTGAATGCCATGTTTGTAATTATGTGCTAATAAACTCAAATTTTTTTCCCCTCATGGAGCTCTGGTGGTATAGTGCCTAAGGCACTTGACTGCTAACTAGAAGGTTGGCGGTTCAAATCCACCTGACACTCCTCAGAAGGAAGATTGGACAATCTACTTCCGTAGAGGTATCACCTCAGAAACCCAAGGAGGGGTAGCTATGAGTCAGAGACGACTAGACAGCACATAACAACAATGGATGATTACTATTTCTGTCTTATGTGATAATGTCAATATATGCTACAGGTAGTTATTGTTTGTTGCGCTTGAAATTTAAGTGCCTAAATATGTTATTACAATAAGCAAATAAATACATTTAATTATACATAAAAAATCATATTAATAACAGCTATAAGGTATTTAAACCAAAACCAAACTCACTGCTGTAGGGTCAGATCCAACTCATAGCAACCCTTCCTTGGGTTTCCGAGGTGGTATCACTACGGAAGTAGATTGCCCAACCTTCCTTTCGAGGAGTGGTTGGTGGGTTGGAACCACCAGGCTTCTGGTTAGCAGTCAAATGCCTTAGACACTATGCCACCAGAGCTCCTAAGAAGCTAAAACAAGTCATTATCAATGGTAGCATCTCTGAGTAACAATTGATAGATGTTTCCAGGAGGCTGTGCAGATGAAATTTTGTAAAGAGATTAATAGGAAAGGGGAAATATAAATTTCAAGTATTTCTAAATAAGGTATTTATTATTCTGCATAGCCTCCTGGAAACATCTATCAATTGTTACTTAGAGATGCTACCATTGATAATGATTTAACTTCTTTTTGAGTTGCTAGTAAGGTTAAGTATGAGCTGGAATCACCTCGATAGCAGTGGGTTTAGTATGGTTGTCTAATGGGTTAGCAGGAATAAGTAATGCCTGTGCCAAAAACAAATACTGGGTATTAGAATTCCAGTATTTAGTCTAATATTCTCAATATTGTACCAGATCCTAAATATTAAACTTCTAGTACCAACAATACAGGCAGAGTTCCAAACTTCCTTTTATATTTAGCATTTTGTTCAGTCACTCACCAATAACTTCCTTTTAAAGTTAGAATAGACTGCCACTACAAATTATTTTTCATAAAAAAAAGTAGATAAGTAAACAATGATGAAAACTATATTAGAGAAATCTCCTTCAAGAGTTAGATCTCCAAAAGGTTCTGCAATTCTAATATATGGTTCAGTGGTTTTTATTTTAAATAATTTAAATATAAATAGTTATGGAAGTACTAGAACTGCTTAAGTGTTCAAGTTTTGATGTTCTAGTCCATTCTTTAAAAAAAAGTTTTGCTTTTCTGGATTCAAAAGAAATATAAATCATTCAAAAAGGAAAAAAGAGTAAAACACAGAAAAGGGAAAAAAAAATCACCAGTAATTGTTTCACCTAGATATAATACCTCCTTTCAGAGACTACTGTCATTTTGTTTTGTATTTTTTCCTGGGCACAGTAACTATTTTAGTCCTTGTTCTAGCCTCCTCAGATACAGCTGTGTACAAGGAAGCTAAGAGAAGAGATCTAACAAATAAAAGACAATGTAACATATCCTCTACCTCCACCCTTCCCTCATGGTAGAAGTTATTTTAGGTCACTTATTTATTTATTTATTTTGCCTTATCTGGACTTGGCCTACAGAATTAGTGACTAAAGAAAAATATTTGTGTTTCTAACATAATAAAAGAAACCAGAGAAAAATATTTCCAGATAAATACTTTAATCATACTATCATGAAAAGTAGAAAGGACATATACAGAAAAAATATTTGTTAGGATATTGAGGTTATCACTATTTTCCCCTCATTACTTTGTAATATATTCAACAGAACATTACACTGAGGCATGACTCTTTAAGTGCTATAGAATCTTATATAAATGAATTTGTTTAAGTGCTTCTCTGTCAATATCCTTTTCTAGGTATACATCATAGTTCAGAGGTACCTCTTCAACCCAAGGTGATAACTGTATATTAGTCTAAAAAAAAAAAGAAAAAAAAAAAGATTTATAAAGAAATACTAAAATTGCAGACTGATTCTAGTCTGTAGCATTTCAAGAAATCACCACTAATCAAGTAACTGAGCACAGCAGGTTTCTATTACAGTGGACCGGACTAAGCTCTACATGGTGCCACACGAACAATTCCTTGCAGGTTTATGGTTTAGGGACTTAGTTAATTGACTTTGATTTTGGAACTTGAAAGAATAAAGAAAATACAGAATCGAGTAATTATTTTCATGCAGTTAGCTTAAAAATTATCATTAGGCTTAAATCATAAAGAGAAAACAAAATGATAACAAACAGAGGACACAGGAAAACTCGTCATCTATACCCAGGGATGGCACTAAGGGGCTGCTTGAGGACTGCTCATCTTCCTCCATTAACTTTCATCAGGCCTCTCCCTTCATATGAAAAGCTTTAGTTTTCACACCACAGAACTTCTGGAGTCATCAGTGAAAATATATTTAAAGAAGTTTCCTTAAATAGGAATACAATGAAGTTATTTAAAAGTTCATGTATAAGGGACTCTTTCACATGTATTAATTTCTAAAGGTAATCTACACACATTTATGTACTTAGTATGAAAGCTATTATTTTGTGAGGTGAAAACTCACTACATTATGTCAATATGTATGGAAATTATAACATAAATTAGATAATACATACTTAAAAAGGTATGTTTTTATGAGTATGGGAAAGTATGCTAGGATCACACCACTCATGGACTGGCAATTTCACTGTGTGGGAATGAAGTGTGGCGGACGGGAGACCTCGGGAAAGTTACCAGCTTTTCTTTTTATATCTCTGGATTATTTTCTTTGTTATAACAAGTGGGAAGTACTTTTGTAATTTTCATGATTGATGAAACAATTTAAAAAAGCTTATTATTGGTATTGGTTAGTTTTTTTCAAGGAAGAAATGGCTACTTAAATTTGGCAGTGCTCATATGCTGGGAGACCACCAATAAAAATGCTAGTAATATTCTCCATTAAAAAGTGTAATAACCTGTTGTTGTTGAGTTGACTGTGATTCATAGCGACCCTACAGGACCGAGTGGAACTGGTCCATTACAGCCAGGTTTCCAAGGATGTCATCTTTACAGAAGCTGACTGCCACATTTTTCTCTTGTGGACTGGTGGATTTGAACCACAGACCTTTCTGTCAGCAGCTGAGTGCTTAACCGCTGTGCCACCAGGGATCCTTTCATCTAGGAATTTCAAAGAACTTTATGAATACTAATTAACTTTCACGTAAAGTTTAATTTATTGGTTGAATCTTATTCCTAAGTATCAACCTTATTTTACAAGGAGACTCTGGGGAACAAATGGTCTGTGTAAGATCTGAACTGACTAGAAGCCAAATTGTGAACAGTACATGGGGCTTAAGTCTACTTATTTGATTCTAGAAGCCTTGAGCAACTCTGTTCCTTTTGCTCTAAGGGACCAAATTATGCTGGCTCTTACAAAATTATTATAAGGATCTTACAAAACATTAAACAGCTTTTATGAACCTAAAACTATAGTCCCACAGTCGGAAAACTTAAGTGGAGAAGCAAGGGAATCTATAGCCGTATGTTGTTGTTGTTGTTGTTGTTGTTATGTGCCGTCGAGTCAAACCCGACTCATAGCGACCCCTCCTTGGGTTTCCGAGGCAGTATCACTACGGAAGTAGGATTGCCCAACCTTCCTTCCGAGGAGTGGCTGGTGGGTTTGAACCGCCAGCCGTCTGGTTAGCAGGCAAGTGTCTTAGCCACTATGCTACCAGAGCTTATGTTGTTGTTAGGTGACATCAAATCCATTTTGACTCACAGTGACCCCATGTGACAGTGTAGAACTTCCCCACAGTGGTTTCTAGGCTGTAATCTTTATGGGAAGGAGCCCTGGTGACACAGTAGTTAAGTGGTCTGTGGTTGTAACACACTAGCTACTCGGTAGGAAAAAGATATGATGGTATCTATCTGCTTCTGTAAAGATTATAGCCTTGGAAACCCCATGGGACAGTTCTACTCTGTCCTGCAGGGTCACCGCGAGTCAGAATTGACTCCACAGAGATAGGTGGTTCCCCCCCCCCCCACTAATTTTTAATCTAATCTTTATAGGAGCAGATCGCCAGCTCTTTCTCCCAGAGAAGCACCGGGTGGATTCATACTGGCTAACCTTTCAATTAGCAGCCAAATACGTAATCATTATGCTACCAAGGTTCCTTTATAGCAATGTAAGAATTACAATTTCAGATCTTGAGGCCAGTGAAGAAACCACTAACCAGTCTTTATGCCATGAAGTCTTGCTATTTCCTCTATCATCTGTCAGTATTTTTAGACAGATGTTTCTAGAGTATAGTAATAGCTATCAGAAAAAAACAGAAAAGTTCTGATAACAAAAATGCTGGAAAGGAGGCTTACATACCCGAAGACCTGAGAGAGACTCTTCAAGACTTGGTACAGTTACTAGTAACGATCCTTGTTTCCTTACATTATGGCTGATATATTCCCAGGCTCTAAAACACATTAAAAACTGTTATTAGGCTACCAGCAACTGTAAAATAAATAATAATTTTGAAAAACAGAGCATGGCAAAAGAAAATGCAACACAGGTAATGTGTTAGAAATCCAGATGAGCAAAAAAGTTTGCCTTAACCAAACAGAACTGTAGCAACCTACCAGAAACTGGTAAAATCTCCAGTTCATGAAGAAGTGTTGGCAACATTGTGAGGTTATAGTACTGAAGAGATTAACACAATGGGACTCAGATTACTATATAATATTGTGTATAAGGCCAAAACTCTGTTTTCAGAACTGATACACAAATCCAAGCTACATCAGCAGCTTTGCTGGTTAGCTGCTGTTGAGTCGGCTCCAACACATGACTACCTTCTGTGTCTGACAGATCAAGATGTTGCCCTGTTGTGTGCCATCTTCCTGCGTTTTGGTACGTTCGAGTACACTGTTGTGGCTACTTGTCAGTCTGTTTCTTGAGAGTTTCCCTCATTTTTTGCTGACCCTCTACTTCACAAAGGAGGCCTGGTGACGCACTGGTTAAAGTGCTTACCTGCTAACCAAAACACTGGCAATTTGAATCCACCAGCCTCTACATGGAAGAAAAGATGCGGCAGTCTGCTTCTCTAGAGATTTACAGCCCTGGAAAACCTATGGGTTAGTTCTACTCTATCCTATAGGGTTGCCAGGTGTCAGAATCAATTAGATGGCAATAGGTTTGCTCCTTTACCAAACATATCCTTTTCCAGAGACTGGTCTTTCCTGATGACGTGCCCAAGAAAGTGAGCCAAAGTTTTGCCATCCTCGCCTTTAAGGAGAATTGTGGTTGTATTTCTTCTATGACTAATTTGTTTGTTCTTCTGGCAGTCCATAGTATAGTCGATATTCTTCACCAACACTACAATTCGAATATATAAATTTTTCTTCTGATTTCCTTTTTCATTGTCCAGGTTTTGCATGCATATGAAGTGACTAAAAAAGACCATGCCTTGGGTCAGAAATACTAGTTATCAAAGTGACATTTCTGCTTTTAAAAACTTTAAAGAGGTTTTTGGCAGATTTGTCCAATGCATTATGTTGTTTGATTTCTTCTCTACTGCTTCCATGGATGTTGATTGTTGATCCAAGTAGAGTAAAATTGTTGACAACTCCAATTTTTCCGCCATTTATTATGATATTGTTTACGAATTTTGCTTTGTTCATGATCAGGTTTAATTCACATGAAGGCTGTTGTCTTTTACCTTAATCAGTAAGAGCATCAAGTTGTCATCATTTTTGACAAGCAAGTTTTTTTCATCTTCATATCACAGGTTGTTAATGAGTCTTCCAGCAATCCTGATACTGTGATTTTCTTCATACAGTCTAGTTCTTAGATTATTTGTTCAGCATAAAAATTGAGTAAGTAAAGGGAAAGAATACAACCCTGCCACACACATTTTTCAATTTTGAACCACACAGTATCTCCTTGCTCTGTTCAAAAGACTGCTTCTTGATCTATGTAAAGATTCCACATGAACACAATGAAGTGTTCTGGAATTGCCATTCTTCATGTTATCCATGATGTGTGTTCGGTTACTTCGTGCTACTCTAACAGAAAATAGCACAAATGGGTGGCTTTAACAAATAGTTTATTCTTTTACAGTTTGGGACACTAGAAGTCTGAGTTTAAAGTGCCAAGCTCTAGGAACTAGGTGAAAGCACCTCAACCTTGGGCTTCAGTTCTGCCTCTTGCTCCTGACCCAGTGGAGCTAGAGGTATCTCTTTAATCATGCAGCTGCTGGCTGCTGAGGCTGACAAGCCCAAGGTCAACAAATAAAATGGCACAGTTCCAATATTACTAAACAACATGGCAGACCACTAGTTCAAGTCCAGGGACAGCCCAAAGATCGGCAGGAAACACGGCAGGCTGCTAAATGAACACTCGGCTACGTGCAGGGTCCAAGTGTGCCAAAAAGCTGCAGAGACCTTTCTCAAAACTTCTCCTTATATATTGGAAGCAGGCCACAACCTTAAGTCAGCTACTCAGCTTCTCCAGTAGATTCCACCATGGGGCTGATTACCAGTCTCATCATGGGGAATAACTACATCCAGCTGCCCAGCCAAGCTGAAATATAACCTTAACCATCACAATGCGTTATTATCTACATAGTCAAATGTCTTTGCAGAGTCAGCAAAACACAAGTAAACAGCTTTCTGGTATTCAGTGCTTTCAGCTAGGATCAACTTCACATCAGCGATATCTTGTTTCACATCCTTTTCTGAATCCAGCTTGAACTTCTGCAAGTTCCCTGCTGATGTATGTCTGCAATCCATTTTGAATTATCTTCAGCATATTTTTGCTAGCATGTGATATTAATGAGGTTGTTCAATAATTTCTGCATTCCATGTGATTGCCTTTCTTTGGAATGTGCACAATTGTGGATCTCTTCCAGTTGGCTGGCATATAGCTATCTTCCAAATGTCTTTATATAGACAAGTAAGTACTTCCAGAACTTAATTTCTTTGTTGAAGCATCTGAATTGGTACTCTGTCAATTCCTGGAGGATTGTTTTGTGTCAATACCTTTGGTGCAGTTTGAACGTCTTCCTTCAGCACCAGGGGTTCCTGATCATATGCTACTTCCTGAAATGCCTGAATACTGACCAATTCTTTTTGGTAAGGTGACACTGTGTATTCCTTCCATCTTCTTTTGGTGCTTCCATGTCATTCAATTTTTTGCTCATAGAATCCTTCAGCATTGCTTGAATTTTCTCTTCAGTTTTTTTTTAGCTTAAGAAATGCTGATCATGTTCTTCCTTCTGGGTTTTCTAACTCCAGGTCTTTGCACCTTTACTTTAACATTGTTTTAATTATAATACGTTGGAATCTTCTGTTCAGCTCTTTCATTTCATTTCTTCCATTCACTCCAGCTACTCTGCACTAAGAGCAAGTTTCAGTGTCTATTCTGATATCCATTTTAGTCTTTCCTTTTTAATGACCTTTCACTTTCTTCATGTTTGATGTCTTTCCACAGCTCTTCTTGTCTTTAGTCATTAGTGTTTAGTGCATCAAATCTATTCTTGAGATGGTCTCTAAATTCTGGTGGAATGCTTTAATTTTCTTCAGCTTTAATTTGAATTTGCATATGAGTGATTAATAGTTTGTTCAGCAGTTGGCCCCTGGCTTTGTCTTGACTATGATACAGAGCTTCTCCGTCGCCTTTTTCCAGAGATATTGTAGATTTAACAAACCTATGTAATCCATATAGTATAGCTGTCGACGGCGTTGTTGAAAAAAGGTATTTCTGATGAATAAGTCATTGATTTTACAGAATTCTATCATGTAATCCCCAGTGTCATTTCTATCACCAAGGCTGTATTTTTCAACTACTGACCCTTCTTGTTCCCAACTTTCATATTATTTGTTGTAGTTGTTGTTATGTGCCGTCGAGTTGGACCTGACTCATAGTGATCCCCCCTTGGGTTTCTGAGGCAGTATCAATATGGAAGTAGATTGCCCCATCTTCCTTTCTTATTATAATTACTAGAAAACATTAAAGCATCTTCACTGAATGCTTCATCAATTTCAGACTGTGGCAGTTGGTGCATAAATTTGAACAGCAATTGTATTAACTGGTCTCCTTTACAAGTATATGGATATTAACCAATTGGATTGTTTCAGGACAGGTCTTGAAATGTTCTCTTTAATGATAAATGTAATGTTATTACACTTCAATTTGTCACCCCTGGCATCGTAGACCATATGATTGTCAAATTCACAATGCCCAATACCAGATCACTACAGCTGACTAATACCTAAGATATTGCTCTTCAAGAGTTCCATTTCATTTTTGATGACTTCTAATTATTCTTGCTTCACCACATTCCAATTACTAATAGATGTTTACAGCTGTGATTTCTCAATTTGAGTCATGTCAGATCAACAAATGAAGGTGTTGATGGCTTTACTCCATCCATGTCACCAAGGTTCTCTACTCTGAGGAGGCAACTCTCCCTCAGTCATACTTTGAGTACCTTCCAACCTATACTGGACAATGTTCGGTTGTTATCCACAAGGCTCAGCAGCTCATGGCCCTTAAATCCCTTATGAATTGTGTCAGGTTCTACAGACAGGGATAGGGCTGGGACTGCTAGGGGTGGAGGTACAGAAGAACCATGGAGAAAGACAGACCATAGAAGCTAAAAACCAAGCAAGGGCTGACAACAAGGGCATAATAATGTAGAACAGGAGTTCTTGGGTGACGCAAACAGTTAATGTACTGAGCTGAAAGGCTGAAAGTTCAAGTCCACTTAGAGGCACCTCAGAAGAAAGGCATGGTGATCTGAAAAATCAGCCACTGAAATCCCTATGGAGCATAGTTCTATTCTGATACACATGGGGTTGCCATCAGTCATGGCCACTTGTTTTACATAGATTAAAAACTAAACCAAACTCACTGACTCATAGTGATCCCTCCTTGAGTTTCCGAGGCAGTATCACTATGGAAGTAGATTGCCCCATCTTCCTTCCGAGGAGTGGCTGGTGGGTTTGAACTGCAAGCCTTCCGGTTAGTAGTCAAATGCCTTAGGCACATATATTAGATTTTTAAAATTAACATCAAGACAGCCAACCATGCAGCTTCCTCTTGAAAGACAGCTGGATGGATGTTCATGGAAGGTAAGATTAAACAACTCTTAATAATTTTAATAAATTCCTGTAAAACATCTGGGGGAAAAAAACATCAAGAGTAAAATCAAACTTTATTTGGCTGCCAGTAATATTCAGTGGAAGGACTTCTGGTAGAACATGGCATTTGAGAAGCCAGCTTCAAAGAAAGATGGTATAATGTGTGCATATGTGTGTCAGAAGGCAGTGTTTGTGTGGCCAAATGTTTAACTTTTAGTGTAGACATAAACTGGATTTCTATACTGTACCAGTCTTGATGTTAAACCACACTACTGAGGAGGAAAGGCGCTCTGGTGGCATAGTGCCTAAGGCATCTGACTGCTAACCAGAAGGTTGGCAGTTCAAACCCACCAGCCACGCTTCAGAAGAAAGACTGGGCTATCTACTTCCATAGAAATACCACCTCAGAAACCCCAGGAGGGGTTGCTATGAGTCAGAACTAACTCGACGGCAGTGAGTTTGGTTTGAGGATGAATGGTCAAGCAAAGCACAGGTGTATATCCGTTCTAGTGGGCAGAAGTATCATTTGTGCTTATTTTAGTTATCGAAATACCTATTAGGGTTAGTAAATTTTGAAGTTTACTAGGTAAAATGATAGAGATGTTCTTTTTCTCATGTTAGATTTAAAATCATGTGGCAGTGTTTGATAAGAAATGTCACTGTATGGGTTAGGGCTATTTGTTATTTTGATGTAATTCCTAAAAATGACATATTTTAAAGTTTACTTAGTAAGAAAGAAGCAGAGTACATCACATGGTTGAGTATGGCACTTGCTGTCACTATAGCAGATGTATGTGTTTTACCTACTTAAAAACTACACAGAAACATCTTTAAACTAAAAATTGCTCTACAAATCTGGGATATTACCCTGTAATGGTATCCAATTTATTCTGAAGCCTGAGCCTTTCTGAATACACATTTTCTTATTACAAATGTATTAAAGTTTTCTCTTATATGCAACTCCAACAGGTATTTCTTTCCTCTTGTCCTGAGATTCTGATTTAGATTACAAATTTCTGGAGATTAAATGCTATGCCATCTATTCTTTTTGCAGTACAGAAGTAATATAGGTAAAGAATAAATCAGAATGATTTCATCTTAGAATGCCTTACTATGACTTCTAAAAATACTCCTGCATTTTGTTATTCATAATGAAGATGATAAATTAACAATGAGAGGTTATAACCCATTTATATCTAGAATTCATTGCACTAGATTAATGTAGAAGAATTGAATGAACTAACATAAGAGCCTAATAACTATTGAGTGAATCAAGTAGTTTGTGTATGATGTGCCAGGAAAGTTTGTTAAAAACAAACCAAACATCCAGTAATTCCAGTATCAAGTTCACCAATTGCTTTCATCATTCTTCAGCTTTCTAATCTTTCTATAATGAATCTCCCAAAAGTTTAAGGTATTTTTCAACTTTTTATGTAATATAAACCCAATAATACTTCATTCTCTAACACTTATGTAGTGTTTTGGCTCCCTGTCATTAATTTAAAAAAGCAAAAGGCTAATCATACTTTGTCCACTAGAAATTATGCTTAAAGAGGGCACAATGACTAAAAACAACTTTGCTCATGCTGTGCTGTTGGTCTTTAGTCTTTAACTAAAAGACATCATCCCATTCTGCTTGAGCTTTGATTATGTAATTAGTTTCATTAGTTTCCTGTTGAGCTAGTTTATTTTTAAACTATTTAAATTGTTAATTTCATAGTGACCTTAATCTAGTACTAATGGGTGTGTGAGTGTGTGTGCTTTGTGTGACAAAGAATGTAGAAGGTGAGGGAGGTGACAGAATAAAGGTTTAAGTATTCAGGATTCCATTCAGTGTATTAACTGTTATGGTATATAATTACATGTATTTTTAATTTTCTGTAATAGAAGCCTTACTGAGGCACTAATCCAAATATATTAGTGTATTCCCTTTCACACATATGAGAAGGAGCTTTCCTGCATCTGGAGTACATACATGCCACCAGGAGATGTAAGAAATCAGCAATCCGAATTTTAGGCCAGAAAATCAGCACCTAAGTCAACAGTCTAAAGGAATGTTCTAATTAAAGGAACCTATAGATCCTGAAGGAGCTCTGGTGGCATAATGCCAATGGCACTTGACTGACTGCTAACCAGAAGGCTGGCACTTCAAACCCACCAGCCACTCCTTGGAAGGAAGGTTGGGCAATCTACTTCCCTAGTGATACTGTCTCAGAAACCCAAGGAGGGGTCGCTATGAGTCAGATTCAACTTGACGGCAGTGAATTTGGTGTCTTTTGTTTTTTTTTTTAAATAGATCCTGATGGGCCACAAAGCATTAAATTGTGCAGGGAAGTCAGAAAAATGATCATACATTTGCCAGTTTTTCCACTACTTGAATAGTGGAACAATTTCCAATAACCTATTATCAATATCTCAAGAATATTTTTAAAGTTCAATAATTTTTAATACTGTTTTCCAAGATAACCTTATATCCTGTTTTCCATTTATTTACAGGCATTAGTTAATACCCATCATTTTGTGATAGGATAGCAATATGTCATGTTATTTTATAGAAAAGAAAACTGAGGCAGAAAAGAAGTATAAAGGCCCACTGGGCATTGGTATCTTATTTATCCCTGACTGCTAAGCAAATGCTTAGATCACAAAACCATTTAATTTCTGCCCCAATTTAGATGTAATATTTTACAAAGTTGGACAACCAAACTTCGTTTTTATATTTGTTTAGTATATAACACATTTCCTTGCTAATGTAATCTCACAGTTGAGGTCATTTTTAAAAAGTTTAATACAAAAACATTTCTACTGTACCAATCCTTTTTCATACCTTGCTGGATATATTTTAACAATAACAAGTTTCTTCCTTGAATAAATAACATACCTGGCCTGTTCTGCCTCATTAAGAAAATATTCGAAGACATTATTCATGATAACAACATCAGCATTTTGCAGAAGTGAACCCTGGGTACAGATGTCTGCATGAAGCACCTAAAGAAGAATGAGTTCACATAAGAGAACAAGGGCACTATACCACGCAATCACATAGGAAATATCTATTGGTTCACTGATGTCAATAAGGCAATATGAGAAGTTAACACTTCTTAAAAATGAAGAAAGAACAGTATATTTAATACTACTGCCTATAGGAGATACTTAAAACTTCAAAAACAGAACAAAATAAAATAAAACCCATGTTGTTGTTGTTGTTGTTCTTATGGCCGTTGAGTCGGACCCGACTCATAGCAACCCCTCCTTGGGTTTTCAAGGCAGCATCACTATAGAAGTAGATTGCCCCATCTTCCTTCCGAGGAGTGGCTGGTGGGTTTGAACCGCCAGCCTTCTGGTTAGCAGTCAAGTGCCTTAGGCACTATGCT